CCCCAAAACCCCAAAACCCCAAAACCCCAAAACCCCAAATGAAATTTAATGATTTTAGAGCCATTGAGTTAATTATTATAACAATCTTACTATATTATAGAAAGTAAAATGATGCAATTAACAAAAAGGCTATAGCCATGTTTTCAGCATATAACTGGCAAATAAGCTCCTAATACTTAGTTTTTAATCTAATCCTAGATTTTTCAATTCGGATAAACAACTGTACAGAGAGAGAGGACTTTGAAATAAAAACTATCTTACGAGCACTACGATTTCACAAAAAATGTATATTTCTAAAGAGATATGAAGGATAGAGTCAAGAAATTTAGAGCAAGAATACCTGAAATCCCACTATCTAAAATGGCTTCAAAGGAGCCAAGTACTGTATCTAAAAAGCGAAGACCTTACATGGCTCCTCTCTCTAAGCTAAATGATTCACACAAGTTAAAAAGAATAAATTAAGATTTGAAATCGTAATTGAAGAGAAACACTGATTAAATATGGGAAAATGAAAAGATTTCGCTAAGAAATAAATTCTTTGTCCTTGATCACACTGCGGAAGTGCTTGAAAATTATAGAAGAATTTAAGAGAATGAGATCTTCAATCATGTATTGCATGAAGAAAGAGATAAAAAGGCATTCCTTAGGAGAGAATCTAGGAAAGCTGAAAATTTAATAGATAATTATGACTACAAGTTTGGAGATTACAAATACTTGTAATCTACAGAAAATAACACTAGCATTTATTAGATTGCAGGTTCAGTTGATATCTTTTATGAGCAGACACAAATAAAGAATAATCAATCTAAATTATCAAATGGTCTTAAATAGATTGAAGCACCATCAATTAATCAAATGGCATCAGGATAAATGAATGAATTTTAAGATTATAAGAGTAAATAAAAAGAGCTGTAGAATTTTAGAATAGAAAAAATGCTAACACCTCGATCAAATAATCCTGACCTTTAAAAGTACTTAGAAGACAAAGCAGCATATGAGACTGCCTCTCTTGGTGAAACATCAGCAGATGAACTTACTATAAAATCTGCTTAATCAGAGGAAGATTCAGATAAGAGAATTGATATCATTAGAGAAAATAGTTTGGCAAATGAATTTGATCATATTAAAAATGTAGCCAATCAAGTTGAATAATACGAGTAAAAGGTTGTCGATGAATATAAACATATTGATGTCTATAGAGCGAAAGGAAAGTCCTACAACAAGATAAATTTCAATGACCTGACGGTGCATGAGAATCTAAATTACATAAAGTTCAATTTGAAGACCTCTACTGAGGCTTTTTAACTTTTTGAGTAGATCAAAGAAAAGTATGGCAATCATCCAGAGATTCCAGCTGCCATTGTTTAGAAATTGGCAAATAAAAGTAATATAAAACGATAATAAATCAATAAAAAGCTGTTATCTAAATGGGAATATAAGAGTATTTTAAGAAGCATTTCTCAAAACATTGAACTTTTAGACAATAAGCAACTAGTTGATACTATTTTTTCTATAGGAAAACTACACAAACGTCAGACACTTAAAGAGATTGAAACTGATGTACCTTAATTCTACTAATTTTTTAACTATTTTGTAAGAGACATGCTTAAAGAAGCGAAAGATAGAATAAACGAACTTTAAACTGTTCAAGTGGCGTATTTAGCTAAAGGAGTTGAAAATATGAGAAAAATATTAAATGATAATAATAAAATCTTAGAGAAGGAATTAAGAGAAGTAATCAAAACTTATTCTGTTTAAAATGCAGCTAGCTTCGACCCATATTCTGTAAGCAAAGTTTTGAGATATTTATACACTTAAAATGATGGGGGTGAAACCTCTTTAAAAGTATATGAGGCACTTGGTATGAGATTCTATTAAAATCTTAAAGAAAGAAGAGAGTCAATGAGAGAAATGACCTTAGATGATCCTCTAATAGATATAGAGATGAAGGATATTTTAGATCTAATAAGAGTATATTCAGTCTATGCGAAACCAGAGAAATAATTATTTGTACCTTAGCTATTTTTAGACGAGAGCTTAGAAAATCCAGATATGGGTGGATAAATGTAATTACAAACCCAATTAGATAGTTCTCAAATAAAAATAGAGAATTTAAACTAACTTTCTAAGGCAATCTTATCAGAGCTGCCAGATATTATCTAAAAAAAGAGTGAAGAAATTAACTTCTCATAAATATCTGATTTAATGTTCCATTATACTTCAGCAGATATGATGCAAAATAAAAACTTTATATACTTCCTCGAGAAGACTGCAGAAGATTAGCTTATTCTAAGGGAAAAATTTATTACCTTAAACTCTGCTAGATTAATATGGGGCTTCGGTAAATTCATGAATAGACGCCTGTAGCCAAGATACAATCAAGATATCGGTGCCACTATTATCAATAGATATGAACTAACAAAAGTTCCATCAGTTAGTCATAAGTTATAACGAAGAGTAGTAGATTTAATTATTGAGCACAAAAAGGCTATTACTACTGATAACTTAGCACTAAGTTTATATGCTAATGCATCTGTTGGCTTTTATGATAGGATATTTTTTGCAGATGCTTTTTAATAATTCACACTCAATGGCTAAGCACCTTCACTCAAGAATATCGGTTACTTTGCATAATCAATGGCTTTACTAAGGAATTATGAGCATTTTGATCATGCAATTTTGTGGCTAGAGTAACTCATAATAAATGAACCTTAGAATTTCTATGAAAAGAGTGGCTTCAATATTGCCTCAGAATTTTCATTTGTTTAGACTCTCTAAGCATTGACATATTTGGATTTGGATAAAGTTAAGAATAGTATGATAATCCTGTAATTCCTCGATTTTTATGCAAAGTCTTTGGAGATTGAAATGACTGAGACACACATAAATTTAGTCCCCAGCACTTTGTGGTCACTTATGGCCTTGAATAAACTTGATTAGAATTTCAAACTAATGGAAAAATGTCTGACTGTTGTTTAAAATGAGAAATTAAGCAATTTATCTTTTAGTGACTGTGTCCTAATGAATCAAGTGTTTAATGAATATATAAAGCATAAAGAACTGCCTATAGATCCAGAGTAGAGAAGACTTTTCTTACAACTAGGAGTGAGATAAGATTAGATTGAATAAAAATCAAATATTGATTACTATAAAAAGGTATATGGAGATGACATTGTATACCAACTTATCTAATCATTTAAGTTTATGTCTTATGATGGAAATTTCACCGTTGATTGCTATAACCCTGTCAGAGGTGGGTATTAGGCACTAATTGATATTGATTTCGCTGATAAAAAATATTCTTATTTGATGGCTAATAAATTTGATACACTGAGAGACACAAAAATCCTGAATACCTACGAAAGAATTAGAAGGGAATAATACAAGAATTTATGCAAAAAAGATGGCAGAGAATTGATTATTATTGATTACAAAGTATTAGGACTGATGTTTAAGAGTTCTCTATCAAAAGAAGAATTCAGATAGAAAGTATCTCAAGAACTAATTAAACCATATTAATGATCTTATTTTAATTTAAATCTATAGATACTCATATAAATGAACTACGGGGTTTTGGGGTTTTGGGGTTTTGGGGTTTTGGGG